AAACAATGTAACACAGGTTACATCTACGCCAGCCTAATAGATGAAGAAGGGGTTCGAGGCTGGTTAGCAGAATTTTTCTGCTTACCCCTAAAGTCTTTGCCTAGAGGCCTTCTACAAGACAGTTGCAGGATGCAGTTAACATCTGTCCAAGATGAGTATTTTTATCGAGACACCATCTCTAGCCTTTACTCAACCAAGAGCCCCAAGGCAGGGGATGTTTAGCTGGATGCAGTTAACATCTGCCCAAGATAAGTATTTTTATCGAGACACCATCTCTAGCCTTTACTCAACCAAGAGCCCAAAGGCAGGGGATGTTAGCTGGATGCAGTTAACATCTGCCCAAGATGAGTGTTTTAATCGAGACACCATCTCTAGCCTTTACTCAACCAAGAGCCCCAAGGCAGGGGAATTTTTAGTCGGAGTTTATTTCTCCTAGCCTTTGCATAAAAAGAGCACACTCTGCAAGGCAGCAGGGCTTGTGGCAGGTGGTACTGGGTTACGTGATACCAGTAGCAAGATTAATCTTGATTATCCTGACCTGACCTGGAGTAGTTAAAAGGAGTTACTTCCCGCAACAGTACTTTGAGAAAACCAGGCATGACATTTCGGAAGTGCATTAGGAAAAACACTGCATCTAACAAAATACAGGAGTCTAAGGTGAGTGTACGTTTTGTAGTTGGAGTAAGTAGTTAGTTACTGAGCTCACGCTGCATTAGAGTATAAACAGCACACAAACAAACATAGACATAAATCAACTTACGGGTGAGTCAACACAGCGCCAGAGGTTCAGACAGAACACAAACATACATAAAAAACATAAAGTAACTTACGGGTGAGCGAACACCGCGTCAGAGGTTCAGACAGAACACAAACATACATAAAAAAACATAAAAAACATTAACATAAACATAAAGTAACTTACGGGTGAGCGAACACCGCGCCAGAGGTTCAGACAGAACACAGACATACATAAAGAACATAAAGTAACTTACGGGTGAGCGATCACCGCGCCAGAGGTTCAGACAGAACACAAACATACATATAACATAGATTACAAGTGAGCTAATACAGTAACTAAGGCACCTCCAACTATATTTGAGAAAAAAAAAAAAAAAAAAAAAAAAATTCTATAGGCATGACTGATATAAGATAGTACTGATGACAGGAAGAACACTCCTTCCAGCCTTTGCTTAGATAGCAAATCCTGCAAGGCAGCAGAACATGGAACAGGTTGCACTCGGTTACATGTTACCAGTAGCAGGATGATCATGAAGACCATACTCCTGACCTGACAACAAGTTTAAGAAACTTTTCAAGTTGTCAGAGGAAATAAAAAGCTTGAATACAAACATTATATCAATAGGCACATGCCTTCTGCATATAGTTCATAATGTTTTATAGTTGATGTTTTAAATTTCAATATTTTAATAGTTATTGTTTTAAATTTTAACATTGACTTCTTTGAAACAAATATTAACTTTTTCTTTAAACATTCTGCTGCAAGAAGATTGGACTATTGACAAATAGAAGATCCAACAGAAATTATTTCACACTTTATTCAAAGACATTCTTTTACAAGATGGGTGACACTCAGAAGAATATGTTCTCAGACTTTTGAACAACACAACATTCTTTGTGAATATTTTATAAAATTTCTTCCAACAACAACATCTTTGAAATCAACTGTTAGAGATACTAAAAGATATAAGTGGGTTACAGATATTTTGGAAAATTAAATATCAATGCCTCATATTTCTAATATTACTTTCATTGCAAATGATTTTTTAAATTTTTTAAAAACATTTTAATCAAATAAACCAAGAATTCACCTGATTTACTCTGAAACCAAGAATTCACCTGATTTACTCTGAAACCAAGAATTCACTTGATTTACTCTGAAACCAAGAATTCACCTGATTTACTCTGAAACCAAGAATTCAGTTGATTTAATCAGAAACCAAGAATTCACCTGATTTACTCTGAAACCAAGAATTCACCTGATTTACTCTGAAACCAAGAATTCACTTGATTTACTCTGAAACCAAGAATTCACCTGATTTACTCTGAAACCAAGAATTCAGTTAATTTAATCTGAAACCAAGAATTCACCTGATTTACTCTGAAATGTCAAAACTTCTTGTTGTACTAATGTTTATCATAACTAAGCTTCTATATGTTGATAATAAAATCTTTTAATTAATTACTGATGATTAATCTGATTGACTCATAAAAATTTAAACCATTAAAGTTAGTTGATATTGACACAAAAGCCATTTCTTATTTTTCAGAAGTTCTAGAAATGTGGCAAAAAGATACTTCGGCAAAACTGTTTTAAGTCTTATTAAGCATTTACAAGTTATTTAAAATGAAAATTACCAACTTGAAGATACCAAACTTCATACTGGGAAAAAGCCTTTTAGCTTGCTGGTCTTCCTGTAGTTTCAAAATTTTTATGTAGTTTTAATATTGATACATTAATCAATTTCTTTGAGACTAAATTTTTTAATGTTAGTGATCGACCTAAGTTTCCTAATATTACATCTCTTCTCAAAGTTCTTTCTTCACTTTTCCATGTAAATAGTGCCCCAGAGAATGGATATTCAATTAACAAACACATTATTCAGTTACATGGTATCTCACTTGATCTGGATACAATTGAGGCTATAAGGTTTGTAAAAGATACCATATTGAGCTTTTAATCCATACTTTATATTCCCATAACATTTATGCAATCAGTTAAATTAGCTCACTCAAGTTTTAAAGCTGATCTGGAAGCTAAACACAGGTTGAAATAGGAAGAAAAAAGCATAAAAACTGAAGAATCTGAAAAAAACATGGTTTGAAAAATGAAAAAATGCTATTCTTGCATCTATTTAAGTAATATTACACTTCATAAAAATTGTTTTACTGATGTAATTAGTAGTCAATTTTGATTTATTTTTTAATGAGGTAATTTTTTTTTTTTTGCAGATAAAATATCAGTTGCTGACAATGTAGTTTTAAAAAAAAAAATGATTTGAAGAAGTCTTTTCTTCAAAAAAAAATTTATCAGCATTTTATACTTTGTTTCTGTTACTCCTTTACAGATCTATCACATAATAAAAGTTTATTTAACTTTGGTACTTTATTTAGTATTTCAGATATATGTTTTTGCAGACATTTTACATGTCATTATTAAGTTTAATGGTTTTTGGTTTAGATTGTATTTTGTTTATTGTATATAGTAAATACATGTAAATGTGCCCTGTTTATTATTTCCTGAAAATTTAATAAATTCCAGCTAAATTTATGATCATTGTAACGTTCTTATATGGGAACACTATTATTTTTTAGGTTCTTTAAAAAAAAATTTGTTTACACTAAAATTTAGTTATTTAAGTCAAAGTTAGTTTTCAAAGTATGTTGAAGAAATATAAATTTCATCTGGGGTAACAGGTTAAACTAATAAATGGCTTCATTCATTTTAAATTTGACCCGGATCATAAGCTAGTTGGAAAACTAATATGTTAAGTATATACAGCAAGAATACTATGTATAAGATGAACTGAATTATAATTATCTGGCTCTGAAGATACACAGTTCAAAACAATATGTTTAAAGGTGGCTTTCAAGAAACGTTATGCTGTTTTTCAGGATTTTCTTACGTAATTAGGACATCTTTGTATTTTCCTAAAAAGACGTCCTAAATACGTCCTAAAAAGACGTCATCAGGGCCGTATTAAAGCGGGGGCGGATGGGGCTGCAGCCCCAGGCCCTTTTAAAAAAAATAGGCCCTAAGGCCCGTGACTTTTTTTTTTTTTTTTAGGGAACCAGATAAATATTCCTATGTTTCTCAGTTTTTTTAAATCAATTTATTGGGAGCTGCGGAGGTGTTGTGAATAAATAAATGAATAGAGATATAGTTTCATTTTTAGTTATAAATGAATTTTTTTTTTTATAATGAATTTTTTATAATGAATTTATAATGAATTCTTTATAAAGAATTCAATTTTTTTTTTATAAATGAATTTAATTTTTAGTAAATAAATGAATAGAGATTAAGTTTCATTTTTTATTTTATGATCACTTCCGTTACCGCAGAAAATTACAGCATTGCTCATTCGTTTACAAAATTAAAATAAAAAATGAAAAGGAGCAGTCTGAGCGGTTGGGACAAAATGCAAAAAAAAAAGAAGAATGAGATTCAATTAAATGAATTATTGAACAAAAATTAAAAAATGACTGAGTTTTGTAATACTGCAAGTAGTGTCTCGGTATCAGCTACAGCGAGAGCGAGTTCAAATTCACTAACTATGTCAATAATGTCAGCACCAGTTCCAGGCAGTGCTAATAGTGTCTCTGCAGACTCAGCTACAGCGAGTTCAAACTCATTTATGTCAGCACCAGTTCCAGATAGTTCAGCGAGTTCAAACTCATTTATGTCAGCACCAGTTCCAGATAGTTCAGCGAGCTCAAACTCATTTATGTCAGCACCAGTTCCAGGTAATTCTAATAGTGTCTCAGCAGACTCAGCTATAGCGAGTTCAAACTCATTTATGTCAGCACCAGTTCCAGGTAGTTCAGCGAGTTCAAACTCACTAACTATGTCAGCACCAGTTCCAGGTAATTCTAATAGTGTCTCAACAGACTCAGCTACAGCAAGTTCAAGCGTCTTAACTATCTCAGCAGTGTTACCCCTGGCTCTGACGACCCACACTGTCAACACCAATGTGGCTAAGTGGATTATAACCGACGACCTGTGTAAGTATTTCAGCAAAAGTGCAGATGGGTTTTTATCATGCCAACATATGGATAGCGATTTTAAATTATCTACTAAAGTACTGCCTGGTGACACTTTTAAGTTTAAACGACAGTGTACAAAGTCCCTTTTTTTCCGGGAAAAAGTGAATGGTGAGAAAATTAAGAGAGACTGGATTTGCTATTCCCCGTCAACTGGTAAGGTTTTCTGCGCCCATTGTAAATTATTTAATTCAAAATGTGGAACTGGAGCATCTGCTTTGATGTCATCAGGATATGATGATTGGAAACACGCTGCAAGAGACTTAGCTCGCCATGAAACAAGTGAAACCCACATTAAATCAATTGAAACCCTTTTAACACGTAGGAAAGCAGGAGAGCACATTAGTAAGAGGCTCACAGAGCAATTTGAATCAGAGAAAAAGTACTGGAATGACATATTGTTGCGTATTCTTTCCGTAATCAAAATGTTAGCATCGCGTGGGTTGTCATTCCGTGGCAGTAACGAAATTGTGGGTTCTGTCTACAATGGCAATTATTTAGGTTGCGTAGTGCTCGTGGCTGAGTTTGACCCATTGCTTGTAGAACATATTCAGAAAAGAGCCAACAAAGGCCGAGGTCATGTGTCATATCTGTAATTAACTATATGTGATGAATTTATTCATGTGTTAAGTCGTGACGTTTTGGACCACATTTTAACTAAAATTAAAGAAGCAAAATACTTTGCAGTTAGTGTTGACTCAACGCCAGATATTTCACATGTAGATCAGCTTACCATTATATTCCGTTACATGACTTCTAAAGGACCAGTTGAACGTTTTGTGACATTTATCCCTATAGAAGAGCACACTGGGGAAGGATTAGCAACAAAGTTACTTGATTTTATGGAAAATACTGGCATTTCAATTAAAGACTGCCGAGGTCAATCCTACGATAATGCTGCCAACATGAGTGGCCGTTTCAATGGCATGCAAGCAAAAATAAAAGAACATAATAACTTAGCTGAATACATACCATGTTGTGCTCATTCGCTTAACCTTGATATCATGTGTCAAGATATGTCTCAAAAGCCAGAAACACAATTTGAAGACGCAGGATTAAAAGATATAATGAGTCATCATGAAACAGGTATCCTAGCTCAATTGTGGTCAAAAATTCTGAAGAGGTTCAATTTAACTAGCAAGTACTTACAAGGGACAGACATGGATCTCAACACCGCTACGGAACTGCTTCGTTCTTTGGGTGATTTTGTTCATTCTCCTCGGAGCCAGTTCACAGCATTTGAAATGGGATTATGGTGACTCAGAAGATCTAGAGTTATCCCCTTCTGATAAGTTTAAAGTTCAGTGTTTTTTGCCTATAGTTGATCAATTGTTAGTTGCTCTTAAACAGAGGGCTAATGCATATGATACATTCAACAAAAGGTTTGGTTTTCTTAAAAATCTACAATCTTTGTCCAATGATGGTATGAGAGATCATGTTTAATTTGTATGTGAAACATATTTTGAAGATGTTGATCCTAACTGTCATGGTGAGTTTATTCACTTCACTTCTCTGTTTGCCAAATTGTCACACCAATGAAACTGATTGTGTTGAACTGCAAATGTACACCTTTCTAGTTAAGAATAGTTTGACCAATACCTTTGTGAATGTCTACACTGTGTTGAGAATTTATTTGTCTCTTATGGTCACAAACTGTACTGGAGAAAGATCTTTTTCAGTCCTTAAAAGAGTTAAGAATGAACTTAGATCAACAATGGGACAACCTCGCTTAAATGATTTGGCTTTATTATACATTGAAAGTGAATTGAAAGTTAGATCAAGAGATTTCACAGTAGTGATCAAGAAGTTTGATTCAAAAAAGGCCAGAAAAGTCAATATATAAAAAACTAACTTAAAGTAAATTGATTAACTAAATAGTACATAAATTATGCTGCAATTTATATTTATTGTTTTTTTTTATACTTTCAAACAAAAAATTCATGAAGATTCTAGCTTCAGCTAAATATTTGACACCATCAACAATACTAAAAATGATATATGTTTGCTTATATTGCTAAATGCTATCCTATTCCAATACAACATAAATATTGTTATTGGTGCTTTTGTAATGTTAGACTGTACTAAGGACATACATGTACAGTACATGTATGCCCTTAGTACAGTCTAACATTACATGGTGACAATTTGGCAAAGGTCAAACAGAGAAGTGAAGTATATGATGTACTTCTCTGTTTGACCTTTGCCAAATTGTCACCGCCCAATGATCTATATCCTGGAAAACATATGAAAAAATATTTACATGATAAAACAACAATACAATACCTTAAGAATTTTGATGAAATATTGTTTATTTTTATTTTTTTCATTTTTTCATTTAAATACCAATATTATTGGTATTTTCTTCCTTTATTGGAGGTGAACACATTATCAATTTGATACACGTACTCCACTGTCTCAATAGTAAATATACCTACAGCTCAGCAGTTGCTTTCTTAAGTTGGTATCCAGCCATTAGTTCTATTTTTTTATATTTTACACATAATAAATACCTATGATGAATTACTAGCATAATAGATAAAAATCTAAAACGTCATGCAATTTTTTTTTTTAAATAATAAAAAATAATTACTGACTCAGCAAAAAAAGGTGAAAATGTTAAGGTCACAAGAACATATATACCTTAAGAATAAATCAATATTAAAGGTTTAAATTTTGCAAAAAGCTAGTACACTAGTGTAGCTAGTGCCTATACCAAAAATTTTTGAAAAAAATTTAAACAATCAAAAATGGCAGACTTAATGATATAAAAAACTATTTTTAGCGATAAAACACTAATTAGATATGGTACTTGTAGGTTAAGCTTAATTTTTTTAAATGTTTTTTCAGGTTCAAACACTAAAAACATTAATAATGAACATATCCTGAAAATTTGAAGCTAAAATAATGTTTTTTTTATTGAGATATCATTGTTTTGCTACAGCTACCCGTACAAAAAACAAAAATTGAGAAAAATCAATTTTAAAATTATAAATCATGTATACTACTCAGATAAATCATTAAAAACCACCAGCACAATAATCTTTTGCAGTTTCTTTATCTAATTTTTGTCCAAAATAGTTTTTTCTAACAGATCTTAATTTTTTTCTCTTTTTTTTTTGTTTCATCTGACATTTTGTTGTTCATATTTTTTAGCCGTATAGAGTTTTTTTTACTTGCACCAATTTCAAAGTAACTACCAGATTTAATATTAAGAGCATGAAATACAGAAGATAACTTAGAAAAACCATCATTGTAAGTAATGGTTGCAGAGTAAACAGCCATTTCAACAACAACTTTAGAGGTGAATATAGTTTTAGGGGATCGGTTCCAAATTAGTTGATTAAACGCTTCATTTACATTTGGAGTCATGCCATGCAAACATTTTGCAAGCATATCAGTATTTGCTAGATCTTGAAATACTGGCTTGATCTTTTCCATAATGTCAACGGGTAAATTCACCTTTTTCTTGTATGTAACATGACCAGTTGCTCTATCAGACTGCCATTTACACCAGCTTTTTTCACCCTTGGTGCAAAACATATGACGATATTCTTCAGAGGTAAAAATTAGTGCAATGATGAAGTGAAGCTTTTACAGAGTTCCTCATTTCCAAAAGACTATTTGAATTTTGTCGAATAGCCATTCCAACATAATTTTGCAAGATATTAATTACTTTATCCGTGAGACGACCTTTACCAGATATACCTTTTCCGTCAGATAGTTTTACCGTCGTAATTCTTTTCTTTTAAGACGCAGTCGATTCCCTGTACGCTTTTGGTAATGCCCAATACATTCTAGTTTTATTGGAACAAGGTCATCACCATAAGGTTTTTGTGCAATAACTGTGCTAAATGAGGTAGTGTCTCCATCTCCGAGATATTTAGAATAGCGAATGTTATATTTATTTACTGAAGAGCAAAATATTTCTGTTGCACCAGCTGACTCCATCGCACGATTTAATGTGGTTTACTCGGCAGGAATGATTAACTTTCCACTGCTCATATTTGAGTGTCCCTTTTTTTCCTTCCCAAATTTGACATCCTTTACAAAACTTAGATAATGTAACAGTATCCAATACTTTGTTGTTGTCGTGAGACGTTGCTACCACAACACCGTTTAAAGAAGAATATCCTCTCCGCTGCCAGGTACCATCAATAGAAATACCACAATCATAATATTATTCACATTAGAGTCAGGTTTCAGTACTCTCCTAACTTCCATAGCAGCATTTTTCATACTTTGCTCAGCAACTGATTTATAAGCATCGTAAAGTTTGCTATTAATACAGTCAAAACTAGGTTTTGATAAAGGTGGTGGCATGTTCATTATGGAGGTAAAAGTTAACATTGCATCTCTGCTTCTGCCAATCTCCCTGAATGCCATAACACTGTGTACATTAATTTCACTAGTATTTATATCAGGTTTATTGTTTTTGACAACAGGCGAAGAAAAAAATGTATCTTTAAAAGCACAACCACTGCAATAAATTTGAAAAAACAAAGAAAAACCCAAGTGTCTTGAATAATCATGCAACATGGAAAGCTTTGTACCACATATATTACAAGTAGCATACTTTTCAAAACAACTTTTCATTTGTTTTTAATGCATAAAAAATATAAATTCGTCGTTATCAAATAATGTTTTTTCAAGATTATTTTTTAGCTTTTTACTATTTATAGAACTTCCGGCGGACTTGTAAACGACGCACCATTATGAAAAACTAATAATCATGACTAAAACTGTCCCAATTCTTACGGTCAATTAATGAATGTATATTTCGTTGCGTTAATCCCTAATGGTTAGTCAAAGCATTTACATTTACTTCTATTTATCAATTATAATAAATTGATGTAATTACTCTTTAATTAATTTAATTAATTAATTTTACTAGATCAGTAAAGTATCATTTTCAATAAAACGTGTTTTAAACTTAGGGGGGTGCGCCGTTTACAAGTCCGCCGAACTTCCTGTGTTTGTATCAAATTGCTTATTGGAATTATTATGCTAATTGCCGTTAAACTTTCTTTTCCTTGGTCTTATTATTCTTTTTTTGTTGGCCATAACAAACTTTTCAACAACTTTTTACCTGTAATAGGTAAGATATAAAAATTAAAAGTGTATAGCACTATTTCATCTGAATTCAAAAAGGCAACAACACGATGTTAAACCGTTAAAAATAGCAATGTAATTTAGATTTATGACATTTAGACTAATATAAACTTAAAACATTAAAAAAAGAATAGTAACAGGCTTGGTATGTCTAATTTTCAGAGACTAATTTATAGGGTAAAACGGTTGCTATGGTCGTTGCTATGTGATATAAAAATACCTTGATGTGTTTGAGAAGAATATTCTTGATATTCTAACATTATTTTTGAAAAAATATTTTATTTATTGAATTCTTCAATGTTCAATTGTATGAATAACATTTTTTCAAAATTTTCATTTTTTTTTTATTTTTCACCAAAATAATGGCTGGATACCACCTTAAGTCATGATTCAAGACCTTTTGTCAGTTTACATATATATGGGTGTCTGGGCCAAAGGGGTGTAGCTGTACCTAACCAGTTGGTAAAAAATTTAAAAAAAATGCTCTAAAACATATCTAGATTGTGTGCTTTTATTAGCAAGACTTAAAAAAAAACTTCTGGGGGGCAGCTTCCTCCCTGACCCTACTACTTGGGGGGTCTGGGGGCCCCAAACCCCCCGGCTGGGGGTCTCCGGCCCACTGACCCTCGGGTTTAGCTTCGCTAACGCTCGGCATTTTTACCTTACCGCCACATTAGGCCCTCCTATACTTACAGTCCCAGGCCTAAAAATTTCCTAATCTGGCCCTGGACGTCATTTGGCGTTGCCAATTAGAACTAGTTCTGGACGTCCTAAAAAGACGTCTTTTTGACGTCATATGGACGTTGCTGTGTCCACTGGGATGGTATTTTATTGGTACTATTACGTAAGGCATGCGTTTGCAAATGTTCTTTTGATAATTAATCCGTACCAAATAAAAAGAGAGAAGTTTTTAATTTATTTATTTTGTTTGCAGATTAAAATAGTCGAAGATAGCAAACGCTACTCAACATGCTACACATTTTATGACCACTCGAAATGTTAAAAGTGCACAGAACAAAGGGGTTGTTAGTGTTTTAATTAAAGAGGATAAAAATTTTACTGTTATTATCTCTACTATAAACAGTAATCGTAGTCGTATGTGGAATTCTTTAGAGTTGTATGCTGCATAGATAAGCCATAGTGGTAAAAA